TCTCTCTCTCTCTCTCTCTCTCTACTGCTTCTCATGCGAGAAATCTCCTTCAATATTCTTTCTTTAATAACTCTTTTAATTCTCCCTCAAAAATTCTCATTCACCGCGCATTTCATTTGTAATCCCAACGTTCAAATGATCCAGCAATTTCTAAAATTTTATCAGTAATAATGCGGAAGTTATTCATGAAACAAAATCATGAAAGGTTTATTAATGAAAATAAATTTCCCTGTTTATCTTTAAACATTATTTTCTAGAAAAATTCTTAAGTACTATGTCGTGAAAAATGGTAAAATAATAAAAATACTGAGAAGAAATATTCAGAACAATTTTTGTGAGAGGATTCTCACAATATGTGGAAAAAGTGAAAACTCAAAAACCTTTTTTTTTGGCCCCAGCCAAAGGGTCAGATTTTCGGGTTTTCCGGGGCAAGTGGATTTTCGGCAAAATCGAATTTTTTAGTCGGGTGAACGTTGATTCCAACCATTCAAGCGACGGGCTATTCAGAACTATCAAAAGTATGTGGAAAAAGTGAAAACTGAGAAACCGTTTTTTTTGGCCCCAGCCAAAGGGTCAGATTTTCGGGTTTTCCGGGGCAAGTGGATTTTCGGCAAAATCGAATTTTTTAGTCGGGTGAACGTTGATTCCAACCATTCAAGCGACGGGCTATTCAGAACTATCAAAAGTATGTGGAAAAAGTGAAAACTGAGAAACCGTTTTTTTTGGCCCCAGCCAAAGGGTCAGATTTTCGGGTTTTCCGGGGCAAGTGGATTTTCGGCAAAATCGAATTTTTTAGTCGGGTGAACGTTGATTCCAACCATTCAAGCGACGGGCTATTCAGAACTATCAAAAGTATGTGGAAAAAGTGAAAAATGAAAAAAAAATTTCTTCACCGGAGGCCAAAGTGTCGGATCGTGGATTTATCCGGGGGAAAGTCGGTCCAAGGGTCACAAGGGTCAAAGTGTCAGATCTTCGATTTTTCGCCAAAATCGAATTTTATAGCCGGGTGAACATTGATTGCAACTATTTAAGCGCTGAGCTAGTCAGAACTGTCAAAAGTATGTGGAAAAAGTGAAAACTGAGAAACCGTTTTTTTTGGCCCCAGCCAAAGGGTCAGATTTTCGGGTTTTCCGGGGGAAGTGGATTTTCGCCAAAATCGAATTTTTTGCCGGGTGAACGTTGATTCCAACTATTTAAGCGACGGGCTATTCAAAACTATCAAAAGTATGTGGAAAAAGTGAAAACTGAAAAAAAAAATTTTCACCCGGAGCCAAAGTGCCAGATCTTGAATTTTTTCAGGGGGAAAGTCGGTCAAAGGGTCACAAGGATCACGAGGGCCAAAGTGTCAGATCTTGAATTTTTCCAGGGGGAAAGTCGACTGTCGCCAAAATTGAATTTTTTAGCCGAGTGAACGTTGATTTTGACTATTTAAGCGACGGGCTACTCAGAACTCTCAAAAGTATGTGGAAAAAGTGTAAACTGAAAAAGTTTTTTTTTTTCAAATTTTCAAATGGTCAGATTTTTCGTTTTTCTCGGGAGAAAGTCGACTTTCGTCAAAATCGAATTTTTTAGCCGGGTGAACGTTGATACCAACTATTTAAGCGACGGGCTATTCAGAACTCTCAAAAGTATGTGGAAAGTATGAAATCGTTTGAATATGTTTTCAAAGTATGTGGAAAAAGTGAAAACTGAAAAAAAAAATTTTCGCCGGGGGCCACAGGGTCAGATTTTCGTTTTTTACTTGGAACAAGGGCCAGATTTTTCAACACTTTCATTTTTTATTTGGATAATGCATGCAAGCGGAGAGACAAGAGTAGCTAGAATAGATTCTGCAACCTTCTCCCCTTGTTGGGTAAAAATGTCAAGCCTCCACATACATGCATCTCCCCTCCACCCTCTCGTGAAATGTCAATTTTCGAGATTAAAAAAAAACAAGAATTGCATTTTTTATTTCAATAACGCATGAGTTAACAGGGATATGAACGCAGATTTAATATAGGCCAATAGAATTACGGGGAATGGCAAGGATTTGGAACGTCTGAATACAAGTCCTGCTTACACCTAACAAGTGCTGAAATGGCACATAACCAGAGGTAGAAAGGTCTCGGAAGCACTTGGGAAGGGGCTTCCCAAGACCTATCCAGTTCTGAACGGAAAGACCTAAGTAGAACTTGTCAGGTCCAATTATTCGACTCGGGTGTGTAGTCGTTTGAGGTACTCTGAATTCTAATCAGAGCAGCAAGGGTTCAGAATTGCAAAAAGGCTCAGATCCGATAGGTTGGATCCTCAATCATTCAAGAATTCCCTACCATACCCTATCAGGGTTGAGGTCAGATATTTCGGATCCGGACTGGACCAGGAATGTTATGTCTAATTTTACCAGCTTTGACTGATCAGGATAGGATCAAAAGTGACTGAGCCATACCGGATCCAGATAATCTGTTTAGAAGCTGACTAGGTTCTTATCCGGGACATCTGATCAGAAAATCCTGATCAGTATTGGATCTAAAACTGCTTGGTTCCGGACAACCTGAACGGAATTTCCACTCGGGTCATCGTAATTCTATAATGAAGATTGAGTCAGGATAGTCCATTATACATTGCATTCAATTCGAATTCTAGCGATTATTGTTTCTAGATGACATTACCGATAACGATATCGATCATTCAATCGCGTGTTTTTGACATTATCGCATGAAATATCTAGCAAAATGCGCGGTGATCGACTCATTGCTATCTATTCTTATCAGAGACGCCTTTCTTATTTGATTATATTAAATAAGTGTGGTCAATCACTTTGAAGTGAAATTACGCTATTCCGGAACAAAATGGGTTCAATGACGGTCCCGAGTGTATTATCAATAGTTGTGTTACCGATAGTCATTATTTCAGTCACCTGTCAAGTTCCCACAAATGATGATTTCGCGCAACTAATTGCACGAGTATTGGAACAATTTCAAGTTAATTCTCAGAACGATGTGTCTCCACGTATTTTTGATGTGATCAGGCAGCTTCAATCGAAAAATATCATCGAGCTAGAGGCGCAGAGTAATTCGAAGAGTATTACCAATCGTGACAGTGGGAGTGATCTTAAATGCAATCGACAATTTGCAATATTCCGGTCCGGTGTACAAAAATTGGAATTATGGGCATTGAAAAGTATGTTTGGACCTCTTTATTATCTTCATTTGAAGCATGATTTGAATCCAGTAGTAAAGTGGTAAAACAGGACAACATATATTGAATAATCCAATCAGAAAGACTAGTTCATTCACTGAAGAATTTGATGGAAAATTCTATGAATTTTCGGCTGAAAAATATTACATGTAAACAAAGTAGATGTTTTGTTTTTTTACATGAAACGTCTTCTAGTAATAATCATTCTATGGAATGCTCTCAGCATAATTTTTTCAAGTTTTTCACACTAATTTTCTTTGCCTGTCATTGATGAATAAAAAGCAAAAAAATTCGAAATTTTAAGCCGAAAACTTTCTATCGAAAATATCTCATCAGAGTGAGTTTGATGAAAAAATTTCAATTTGTTGATGGTGGTTCTAGTGGAAGAAATGTACGGTTTCAAAGTTTGTTAATAGTAGTTGGCTGAAAACTATTCGAATGACCTACCGAATGCCCTAGGCTTTTGTATTGAATCATTCTCTATATGAAGGTGAACTTTTGTAGTATTTCTCAATTTAAGGAAGTGCAGTTTCAATTTCAAAATTCAAAGAAAAATGTTCACAAAATATTTGCTATCTCTCCTGCACTTTGAGATATTCATCAAAAACTGACCTACAAATGGAATTCACTCATACTGTTTTGCCACACCGACGTCGGTGGCCGAGTGGGCTAGACGCAAGTCTAGTGTGCAAAAGGTTGTGAGTTCGATTCCCCGCGGATCCGAATTTTTCAACGGAAGGCTCCGGCGAGTGGGAGGTTGCTAATAGAGTAACCGCCTGTGTACCGGCATGGGTTTCCTGTGGTTTCCCATGCTATCCCTATTTTCTATAGGAGTGCGAATGCGGTACAGTGTAGAATCCACAGCCGCATGCATAGGGTTGGATAGAGTGCCGAAATGAGACCCAAAAAAGGGGACTCAAAAAGGCCATAAAAAACTGTTTTGCCACTCCACTATTGGACTGAAAAATTTAAAGAAATATCATTTTTTTAGTGATCGATTCTTCGTCAAAGATTCCGACAGGGATATTAGAAGGAAATTTGAAGGACCTGGGAGTTTACGACGAGTGTGTGACGATTGAAGTTGAAAAAGAAAATGAATCTATCCGGGGAAGACATTGTATGTACTCCTGCTCGGTCAACGGGCTGGAAACGAATATGTCATTGAGTCTGACTTTCTCTATTTGCATACCTGATGGATGTAACGCTGGTGATTTAGCTAGAATGATTCACCAAAGTATTAATCTAACGTCTAACTATGACTACATTGACGTCACAGTGAATTCAGTGACATGTTCTGCGGTGGAGCCAGAGCCCTGGGATGAGGGTGGAATTATCATTTTGTGAGTCACAGAATTGACTATGATAGGCAGGAATCCCACAGGGATTGAAATATCTTGAATGAATTGCATTGCTCTTACATTGAGAACAATTTTCCGCTTTTCGAGAAGACTTCCTAACACACTTTACGGGAAAGTTGGAATAAATGTTATCGGAAAAATGAAATTATTTTATTTTGAATTTTCAGAGGAAAAAGGTCTATATGAAAAGAAAAATCTACAGAAAAAATACCTCTGGACTTAGTAATGGTGTAGTTATTGGCCTTTTAGAAATTTGCATCACAATTTTGAATATAAAAAATTTCCGGTTTTTCTAGTAACATGTGTCAAAACTTCCAATGACAGTAAGTTCACTAAAAGAAAAATTGTTCTTGAAAGACAAAAATTGTTCTCAATAAGAGAGAATCGAAAACAGTGAAGAAGAAAAAAGTTCCTTGAGGAATGTATCCAAATGTTCACACTGAATATTTTTCTTTAGGTCGGTTCTGTCTGTCTATTTAGCTTTCTTGATTTGTTGCACCATTTGCGATTTGCTGTTCACCGAATCATCTAATTATTTTAACAAAAATATAATAGAGACATTGTCGAAATTCTCACTGTACTCCAATGCAAGACGTATACTCAGCATAAAAGTACCACGCGAAAATATACCAGCTCTTCAAGGAATACGATTCTTCAGTATGGGCTGGGTCGTGTTAGGACATGTGTACTATATTCACTCATACGGGATAATCAGCAATCAGCTAGCTGTCGCCAAGGTAGCTGTGCTTTTTGCACAATTCTTTTATTAACTCAACGTCCTGTATTAGATCAATTCACTCAAACTTGACCAAGTGATTCATTATATTTTATCGAAATAAATAACATTTCAAACTCCAGTTACGCTAATTTGACAATAACTTTTCGTCTATTCCAATCACGCGATTCCAGCGGTCACCTAGCTTCCGAATAGCTGTGTATCTGGATTAGGGTGCCCGTTAGGGTACCCGTTCCGGAATTTTTGACGTGCCGCACCCTCAAAAGACTCGAAATAAAAACAAATTTATCAAATAAATTTCTCTTATCATCATGGGCTGACGTCTAAAATTTAATTCGTTTCTCGTGTTCACGAGATAAAAATTGTGTTCTCTACCTCGGCCTTCACTATCATCTCACTGGTTTCGTTGGAAACAGTTCCCTCAATATTGAACCGTGGATAGAGAGAACGCAGTGTTGCCAATCCTCCTCAGTAGTTAATGATAAATTTCATGGGCAGAGAATTGGACACACTGCAATTGCGCGAATGGTTTGAGCATAGCTGTCGAACGGTCACAAACATCTAGAAGTTAGAATATATCTAAGAAAAAAATCGTTAGTGAACTTTGGGTGAAGTGATCTAATAAATAAATAAATAAAACGCAATGTCCTCCTCAGACAATGAAAAGAAAAAATATATTTGATATTGCTATATTATTAGTGGCGCAAATCCTGGGACTCCTTATACATTGTCATAGCACCGTTCACAGTAGACACTTTCTTCGTGATCAGTGGATTTTTAATATCGTATCTGTTCTTGAAAAACATGGCGAAAGGTGGAAAATTCAACGTAATTATGTACTACGTCCATCGGTATCTCAGGTAAATTTTCTGTTCCCAGCACTAAATCAATCTCATTGATTCTTATAATTTATTGTTCGATTGTTTTTGCAGATTAACACCAGCATATGCCGCTCTCCTCCTCCTGACGATCTTCATATTCCCACGAATTGGTTCAGGCGCTATATGGGAAGCCAACATGTCATTACAGAGAGAATCTTGCTCGAAAAACTGGTGGGCAAACCTTCTCTATGTACAAAATTATGTGAACACTCAGTACTTGGTAAATATGATGCTTAAAATATTCAATTATCAGTTGAAATCATAGGAGGAAATTCATTTTGGGAAAAATCCTGGTCTGATTTTGTGCCTCCCAATTCCAACTATTGCATTACTTTGGGGTACAAAAAAGAGAAATTGGGACGGATATCAGGGGATGTGAGTAAGTCCTTTGCCTAATGTACGAAAGATTCGGAATTCGAATCCTTTTCAGTGGGAATAGTCAGATCTAATCATCTCAAATATTGATCGGATCTTAATAGATTAATAGACATAGGTACAAGAAAGAGGAACGCAGTTTGATTTTTTTTTGGGAGATACACTAGTAGAGTCCACTCATTAAGTCCACTTTTCACTGGTAGAGCTTTTGGAATTCAGTAACCCCTCCCTTTAGCTGAAAAGCTGTCGTCTAAATAGCCGATGGAGAGATGGAACATATATAGATAAGATGTGATTTTTTTTATAAAAGGAACTCTCCTGCTATGATACTAACAAATTAAGCACGTTTTAATTCAATTATTGCAGTTTTGTTTAGGCCACGCCTGGTACTTGGCAGTAGACATGCAATTCTTTTGGATATCTCCATTGATTGTTTATCCTCTTGCAAAAAAGCCTAGAGTGGGCGTTGCAGTTGTGAGTGCTTTCATGATTGCTTCGATTCTCAGCCCTGCTATCATTTCGGCCAAGAGTGAATACTCTGGAGGTCTATTCCAAGACACAAAGTAATTATTTACTATATTCACATGCTAAGGCAAAATTAATGTAAGTAATTGAAATTAACACCATAATCGAGATGCGAGAAATTTTGAGTATCACTGATAAATTTTTTTTTTTTTTGAAAAACCAGATAGATCCCTCAATTTATTTTTGATGATTTTGTACCCTGGCGGATTACTCGGTTGAGGGATCGAGTGGTTCACTTGTTCGAGTATTGGTCGATCACCGATGGTGATTGTTTGACCATCGATCGACTGATAAATGACCAATAATTGACGATCGACTAACCGTTGACTAGCAATTGACTAACGATCGACTAACCATCGTCTAAGGATCAACCGACGATTCATCGGCCATCGACCGAGTCAACAAGTTGACAAATCGGGTCGCCATCGAGTAACCATCGATCGATTTGCTAGATGGATATCGCGTTCAGTTTTCGTTCATACGTCGCGAATATCGAAATCAATGTTTTAGCTAATCACAGTTGTTAATTGATCAACTGATCAGTTAAACACTCTGAAGCGAATGTTAATTTAAATCACTCAATTATTCAATACCTGAAATTCGAAATTTCTGTGTAGTGCAAAAATGATAATTATTATATATTTTACTGATTACGCTCTCAACTTCGAATTATAAAGAAACTCAGAACCATGCTCTGTACGAAAGTCATGTAGTTTTTTTCGATGAACAATTATTCCGCAGAATTTTAGTGTATATTCTTCCTACTTATTTAATCATTGATTTATCATTCCTTAATTTTATTTTAGTAAAACACATTTGAGCGACCAGATGAGATATTACTACGTAGCAAGTCATACTAGAGCGGGACCATGGCTAATGGGTGTTTTCATGGGCTACAAACTTGCAGTAATGAAGAATCAACGATTGAACAAGAAAATCGTGACTCTTGGTTGGATATTGGCGATATTTGCATTCACCTTTGGATTCTTCAGTTATCGAGTTTTTCAAGGAGATGACTATCAATACCAGCTCTACTGGGAAATATTCTATGCTGGCTTCGCAAGACACATCTGGGCATATGGCGTCTGTTGGCTGATCTTCGCATCAGTACTCGGATATGGAGGCATTATAGGGAAGTTTCTGTCTCTCCCTGTATTCATGCCTCTAGGAAGAATATCTTATTGCATTTATCTAGTGCATTTCATCACTCAGTACATGAGAATAAGTGCTGTCAGGGTCCCAGTATATTTCTCTAATTTGGCAATGCTATATTTATTCTTTAGTGATTTTATTCTGTGCATTACGGGTGGATTTATCTTTAGCCTTCTATTTGAATCGCCTTTCATGGTCCTTGAAAAGATGCTCCTGAGAAGAAAGAGGGGAGAAGAGCCAAATAATGTGAAGACAAATTGCCGAGACAATACTGTAACAGTTGGTGTTCATAATATTAGCTATCAACATGATAATGGAGACGTGGATTTTGAAAAAAAATGATCTAGTCATCGTATTGTTTTAATTGTGTCAGTATCATTTAGAGCGTATCAATAAAGACTCAGCTTTAGATTTTTTAATCGAAACATAATGATTGAAAGAAGATTGCTTATCCCTGTATCTCACAATTCGAGAGATTGATGAGAATCTTTTATCATCATTAGGAAAGAAAGAATAACTTTGGTGCGTAACGTGGCCATTTTTTGCGGGGACAAAAATGAACGTTAACGTGCCCTTTTCCCGGCGATCCCGAGGTATCACACTAACGCTGCAGCCAGCATAATTTCCAAAAATAATGCGTAATAACTCTAAACGATACGCAAATCGTAAAGCTTGTCAAAATAAAAAACCAGCAGGTCTTCAAGCGTTTTTGGCCGAAGCCATCTGACCGTTACTTTATGTGTTATAACTCTTTTTCTTCTTTCTTTCATTTCTACCCATTCCATTGGTAGTAAGCTTCCGAATGGGATAGAAGGTATTCCGATAGAAGGCATCGAAACAAATGTTTAAAAAAAAAATTGAAATCGATTGCGTAGTTTTTAAGCTGTTGCACATAAAAGGTGTTCAGAGAACGTCGAATATCTCGGAAACTACCTATGCGATTGAGCTCATTTTCAATAGGAAGTATTGTTATCATAAGAGGAAGATTCTGTACAAATTTGATGTTGATATCTTAATTTTTGTACAAGCTAGAGTGATTACAAGAATTTTTATGAAAAAACAGAAAAGCGGAAATATCTCGAAAACTTTGTATGAACAGATATATATGTTTTAATTGATTCGGATAAAAGGCATCGAAGTAATTATTTTGAAAAAAAAAATTTTTTATCGGTTGACTAGCTTCGACGATATTAACGAAAAACGATATAAAAACGAATAGTTTTTTCTCAAAAACTGTTTGATCAATCGGACGGAACTTTTGCACAGAGTTAGTCCCTATTAAGGTCTATAATCTGACAAAATTTCAGATTTTTTGGAATAAGTTTAGCCAATTAATTACTCAATTGTCCAAAAATTGATCATCGGAAAGGTGGCGATGGACATTGACACCGACATACATGGCCGCCAAACTTCGTATTTTTACGTTTCAGACCATTCTACATCATTTCCAATCAAAATTAGAGAATGTGAAAACAGCACGATTACAATGCTTCCATGCGGAAGCAAAAACACAATGATGCAGGCATAATACTCCAGGGGAATCGAATTATAATTACTCAAAATCGAGGTTAGTCGCATAAGCACAAAGCATCAGAACTAGGTGCAACAGTGAGCCCTACGAGAATTGCCTGGAGGCAAAGGTATGGATACGAGGGGTAGTCATCGGCTGACGACTCTGAAGGAACTAACAACGAACTGAACTCAACGCCGCCTGGCAACGAACTGCAACGAACTAACTGACTGAACTGAACGGGCAACGGACTGCAACGAACTGACTGAATTGAACTGACAACGAACTGCAACGAACTGACTTTAAAGGCCACCATACACAGGCGCACGGCGTACGCAGACCCGGTCCGTGCGGACACGGTCTGCGGTCTGTACACCCCCATACGCGGAACGATCAGAACGTCTGCGATATTGATACCTTCATATGATTTTAAACAATTCCGCGATGAATGTCTTCGGTTAAGAGTATTCCGATCATCGAATGTTTTTGTTTTTACTTGAAAAATGATGAAAAATGATGAAAAATGAAATAAAAGTCTTCATTTTAATATTTCGTATGCATTTCAATAATATTCTCACTGTAAATGGATAATTTCATATATGTATTTCAATGGAAATATTTTATCAAGGGGAAACAAATAATTCCCTTATTCTGGATGAATTCTTTACATATACTTACACTATAGCTATGATGCTATCTATAAATATAACTATAGTTATAGCTGTATAGTTGAAAAACCTATAGCTATAGAGATTTATGTGGCTGATATATCTACCCATTCATGTAGATATAATTACGACAATATTTCCATAATTATTTCAATAGATATATGCACTACTAAGGCCCAACGGATAGGCTTACTATAGAATATTTTCTATTGAATTTCTATAGAATTTTCTCGGCTCAAATTTTCGGTTTTTTTATCTGATTTCCTTGATGGAAAGGAAAGAAAAAATAGAATTAAAAAAAATTGGGAAATTCGAGTGGAGGAAATTCTATAGAATATATTTTAATGAAATAAGTTGTATGGAAAAATCGAATTCAATTGACTGTTGCTATAGATTATTTTCTATTTAATATGTCAATAGAAATTGCCAAAAACATATAGAAAGTTCTATAGGAATCGCACTATACCCTAGTCAGTGAATAACGTGAGAATTCTGTGAATTCTATTCGCAGATCTCTCAGAATTGAAAAAAAAAGTATACGAATATGTGTGTGTCGATTTTTCACATTCATTTAGGGGGAGAGGTAGAAGAATGTCGGAGGGTAAGTGTTTCAATGAGTACTTACTGTAGAATAAAGTTACCGTTATCTCCATGGATGAGCTTAATTGAGAATTTTTTTTTAATTCTTAATTGAGTACGACTCGGGAAAATAAATAGCAATTATTTCTGCGCAACCAATTTTTATTATTAACTATAAAAGAAGTGATGCCAACGCATATCATGGACAAATAATGATATGTTCAGTAATTGTTCAATGTTTCATTGATGAACATGTGGGAGAAAAATGGGGATTTTCACAGTTTACACATTTTAGTGTGGTTAACAAAATATAAATGAAAATTCAAAATCGAAATTTGGAGGCCCAAAACCCATTCCACTTTTTGTGGAATGCCTCATATACAACTTCTCCCCGAACCAACAGATCCGGATCTCATTTCCTTTCAAATATTCGCCTCAAAATACACAATGTAAGGTATGGATTCACATATGTTCCTTACGTAAAAAAGGAGAAATCCTCTCAATCACTCCCTCTCTATTCCTTACGCGTCCCGAAAACTGCGCAAGCTCCGAGGCACGCGGTTGCCTACTCGAAACCACTGAAGAGACGAGAAAAATTGTGAAAGAGAGGGAGTAACGAAAAGCGCTAGTTTAAAATGTTTGATTCTAAATAAAACTTTCAGCTGGATGAGACGATGCCACACGGTCTAATTTCGTGTCAGGGCGGATACGGCCGGGGCGAGAGCTCTCTCTTGCTTAGTCTGGCATTTTTAACGGCACTAGTGCAGACCTGTACGACTATAATTCGAGTAAAAAATTATTAACGAAACGATTCAATCACAGACAAATAAACAAACGATTGTATTTTACAAAATTAGAATTAAACGACTATCACTGAGTGTTTTAGTATCAATGTGAAGCCTCGGAATGGCTGCGCCCCCACTGGGCAAGTGCATGGTCCTGCCGTTGTTCTTGTTGCTAGTGTACGTTGGATATGGGTTCCGAATTCGTGATATTGGACAGGCTGGTTCGATTGAGCACGGTGAGTGCCCACTTGGATCTGGAAAGTGTCCTGGTGAGACTGGTGGACAGGTGACCTTCAATTCTCTGAAAAAACGGATCGAGAGTGTCGGTGGTACTCGTGGACGTATTGTGAGTGGTAGTGCACGACAACCACCTGTAGAAGTAGAGGATGGTGGGGAAGAGGAGAGGGTTTCTGAGCAAGGCAAAAGTCGGTCGAGGATTCTCAGTAAGATGGCGGAATCCGAAGGAAGGGATTCGGCCCAACGAGAAGATGATGATAGTGAAGATGAAAAAGATGGAATTGTTGAGGAGAATGGATCCGATGAAACTGAAGAAGTGACGATTGACGATGATACTGAAGATGATGATAAGGGCAATGAAAGTGAAGAAGTTCTCAAAAACCAAGAAACTGTGAAGAGAGAAATCAAGTGGAGTTTCCATGAAGTTCGAAAAGGTGAAGAGCCAAGCAATAAAGAGAACGATCATGATAAAGCAACGGCTATTCATAAACATATCGATGGAAATACGGTATCGACGAAATCTGAGGAAGAACTGAAAAATGATGATAAAGAAGAATCGGAGGAGAGTGAGGATAGAGATGAGAGTCCGAAGGATGAAGATGATACCGATGAAGCATCAGTTGAAGAGAAGAAGAAAGAAGAAAAGCCAGTTCGGAAATTAGAAAAAGTCAGATTAGCTGATAAAGCTAAAGTCAAACCTACTGAAGCTCCAGTGGTAAGATCAGTGGAGGAAGAAACTGAAAAACAAGAACCAGCGAAGATGGTAGATACACCCCGAAATGTGATAGTGAAACCGAAAATTGAGAAGGAAAAGCCTAAACCTATTAAGCCTACACCTCCAAAGGTTGAGGAAAAAAAAATTAAAGTTCCCAAGCCAGCACCAACGGAAGACAAAAAAATTAAAGAGCAAGAAGTTGTAGTAGAATCCAACAAGGAAAAAGAAAAGCCTGTGAAAGAATCTGCTCCTGAGAAACTAGAGGAAAAACCTATAACAAAAAAAAAATCAAAATTAGAAGGAGAGGCGCAAGAAAAGGAAAAGAAAAAATCAAAGGAGAAGCCAAAAGAATCAGAAAAAGTGAACCCTGCTAAAGAAAAAGGAAAATCTAAAGAAAAACTTGAAGATGAACCCAAAGATAAAACGGAAGCCAAGATACAAAAAGCTGAAGTAACAGTTAACAAAGAATCTGAACCTAATAGTGAGTAGTTTTCATGTAGAATTAGCTAACGCATAATTGATACCTCTATATGCTTTCTAGAAAAAAAGCCAGACCAATCGAAGAAATATCAAGAGGGTTCAATTTCTCTGATCGAGTTGAACGAAATGATCCTACACGTACCGAATTTCGTGCCAAATTTCGCGGCTGTTGAGGATCCCGTCTGTCAGCAGCATGGGAAGATTTTCCTTCGTCAGTTGCGGGGTCGTAAATTGTGGGCACTTCAAAGTGAGTTGACGTTCGACATCACAAGAATTTCTTAACTAATGAACGAAAAAAAAATTGTAAAACTTCAACTTTTTTTTTTAGTAGAAAAAGAAATTCGATATTTCACTTTACCGAAGCCAAACAAAAAATTTTCTTCAGCTTTGTATTTCAGTGCTCGACTCGGGTGGGAAGATACCCTCGGGACTTTTACGTGGGAACGTAAATCAATTTGGTGATTTTGATCAATGTCTTGGAATATCATCGAAAATTAGATTGGATAACAAACAAACATTAAGGATCCAGGGAAAATATTGTCTCGCAGCCGTGGACATTCAAGCCACTATTCCAGAGACTAAAGTACCGGTGCATTTGATGCAGAGTCGTGGATTCCTACGAGGAAGTTTGAAAGACGTAAGATTTCATTCTTATGTGTATGACAAAAAACTCATTGAAAATTAGAGGGTTCCAATGAGATTCTACAGAGATTGTCATTTTTTTCGATGTGTTTTTTAACCCCTAAGAGGTCGCGCTTTTCTAGCATTTTACCCTACAGTGGCGCCCCATAGGTTGCGTATGGTTTAGCGGGGATTCCCCCCACGATGTGACCACTTAAGGCTTAAAGATAGAAAAGTTTGATAGAAAACAGAGTAAATGACTTTTGAGAGAATAGATCCAGACCATTTTTTATGAAAGTGAACCTATTGATGATTATCAATTAGAAATTTTCTAACAAACTTATTTGGTTTCTAAACGGAAAAATAAACATAATTAAATGGAAAAATTAGTATTGAGAAATTCTTCCTAACTCTTCTCGAGATACAAAAATTTCTCTGAATTTCTGGGAGATATTCCTCATATTATAAAAACTTACGTGAATATGATTTTTTGATTCGTCGTAGAGCGGTCACTTTGTCCCAAGATTCACAACAATTAACTGGGCACTATGCGTACCGTCAGCTTGTTCCGCTGCTGATACCAGAAGTGCTATTGAAGCTGGGTTGAGTCATCTCAATGAAACGTCAGGGGTGAAATTCGTGGTCGATGTGAATCCTGATATGTGCTATATTCAGGAGAAATCCCAGAGTTACTCCAAAGAAACTATCGGTGTACTGTACGTCATTTGACTATTTTTAAGTGGATGATGTATTACTCTTTCTAATATTTTTATGTTATAATGAATTTAATTTTGCAGATATTTCTATGCTATGATCGTCTGTTTAGTGTTGATCGCGACGGTTCGTGACTATATCGTTGTTTCTGAGAAAGGTGATTTAAATTCTTATAAATATTTCCTAAGAAGTTCGGTTGGGAAAATGATAGTATTTCGCAATTGTTTTGAATGCAACCATATCGGAAAAAATAGTTTGTAATCGTTAAAACAGACTACAGATTCTTTTGTTCTATAAATGCATGCATTTACTACTATTGATACATCTTTGATAGCTAGTGTGTAAAAGGAGTAAATTCCTTTGTAATCCATCGAAAATCAATGGATAAAGCGAAGAATATCCTTCAGCTACTCTACACTATTATGCGTTACTATTAACTACAAGGAAATTGTTTATTAAATCGATAGTTTAATCAATCTTTTAAAATTTTGATTCCGCAGAATATTTAGAAAAAGCAACGGTGATTCTTGGTGATAATGTTATTATTTGTTTTTTGCCTCCAGCAAGTTATTCTGAAAGGATAATAATGGCATTTTCTCTCCGGAGAACATTAAAATCCCTTATGAAGCCAATATCACCACACTCAGGAGATATAAGTTGTATTCACGGAATTCGAGCACTAGCCACGATAGCCCTCTACGTGGGCCACAAGATGATTCCCACTGTCGGAATGCCTTACACAAATCGAATTGTCTTAACTGAGGTCAGTTTATTCAAATAGATTTCCTGTTCTTCTCATATCATATACATATATGATTATTCATTCCAGATTGCTAATAATCCCGTAAGTTCCTTGCTGCGAGTGTCCTTGGTTTATACAGACTCTTTTTTATTATTGAGTGGAGTTTTGACTGCGTTCCACATGGCTCGTGAGTCGACAAAACGCGGAGAAATTCGCTGGTTCTGCAGATTTATTGCAAGGATCATCAGGTTCGTATATTACGTGCATGGAATAATTAATTTCCAAATTCTAGTGCTTCTCCTAGGGAATTTCGTTTATTTTTCTATAATTCCTCTCGGAGATGTTACTATACAGTCTTCGTTTATTCCATCAGTATAAGATATCTCAGTACAGATATAAAAAATCACTTCAAGTCAATGGATTTATGATCTCTCTTTTTCAGAATTTATTGAAAGGAATCATCACAAGCAGCACAAATTTTCCCATCTTCTTTTCAACTTTATTTCCTTCTTCTATTACAAAAGGGTTATGTGTATAAGGGTTAAATTATTTTTAAGTTGAATTTTGCCATCCCGTTTTCCTACTTTGATGCTTAATTAAACGAAGAGAGTAAAATAGTAAAAATCAGCATGGCCATAGAAGGGAATACTACACTGACATAGTAAAAGGGTTTTTAACGGATCCTATCTTATAATTTGTATTATGTCTTGTAACCGCGTTATCTGACTAATAAAAATCCTGAAAAGGGTTTTAGGGGTGTCAAATAAGAGTAACAAGTAGAAGGGGGTAAATTCAATGAAATGACATATATTTCCAGTTAAATTTACATGCAGATGGAGAGGCCTTTTGATTCTTATCTAGGGGGAGGGTAAGGCCAAGCGACTCTAACACGCGCAATATCGGGAAGGCTCTAATTAATAAAGAAGGGGGGAGTTTAGTCGTGTCTAGGGGTGTCTCGACTCTTATAATAATTATCTCACTGGGGGGAGGAAGTAAGAAACACAAGTGTGGGCTCACCGCTGGGGGGACGGATCGAGGAGATACGGTTACAGAAATGGTAACGGGAAAAAGGGGAAAATAGCTCGTACTTACAGGCCCTCTCGATGCTGGGGAACTGTCCGGGGTAACTCACACCTGGGCCTTCTCGAGGTCCTCTCCAGGGAATTTTGAGCCTCCTCTCCACCTCAGGGTCTCCTGGGTTATCTTCTCGACGTGGGATAAGGTCCGAAGTCCTTCAACAATCCTCTTCACACATTATGTTTTGGTCTCTCTCTGGGCACAACTAGTATCACGCGTCACCTAGGGCAGTCGTGAGACGAGTGAGTTTCCTTCCCGTCAACGTCTTCTTCGCAGGGGAGCAGATCGAGGTGGGCCAGGAGCGGAATCGTCATCCGCTTTCCGGGTGCCTGAGGCGAAGGGGGCGTTCTTCGGGGTTTCTTCCTGGGGTGCCGGTGTTCCACCTTTTGTTT